AACCTGAAAAGCTCAAAACCCCAAACAAAAGCCCAAACCTCAAAACCCTAAACAGAAGCCTGAAACACAAACACTAAACTCTAACCTAAAATCCCTAAACCCAAATGCTAAACTCAAACTAAAACTCTAACCCCAAACCAGCACCCAGACCTCACAACCCAAACACTAAACTCAAACCTAAAACCAAACTTCAAACCTAAATCCTTAAACTTCTAAACCTAAAAGCTAAACTTAAACGTGAAACCCATGAATCTCTAAACCGAAACACTAAATCTAACTCTAAACCCAAACCAGAACCTTAAACTCAAGCCAAAAACACAAACTGTAAACTGAAACCTAAAATCCTTAAAGCCCTAAACTCAAACCCAAACCTCAACCTCTTACCCCAAACCAGCACCCAGACCTCACAACCCAAACACTAAACTCAAACCTAAAACCAAACCTCAATCTCCTCAAACCCAAAAGCTAAACTCGAACATAAAGTCCAGAAATCTCTAAACCTAAACATTCTAACCCCAAACCAAACCAAAACCTAAAACTCTAACCCCAGACTCTCAATCTAAATCCTAAACTTAAGCCTAACATTCACTAAACTCAAATCCCAAACCCTGAACTCAAACCAAACCCCAAATCTAAACTCTAACCCCAAAGCAGAACTTAGACCTCAAGACTCAAACCCTGAACTCAAACCTAAAGACTCTAAACACAAACCAAAACCCAAACCTATCAATCCAAGCTTAAACCAAAACTCTAATCTAAACTAATCCTAAGCATAAGGATTCTGAACTTAAACACTAACCCTAAACCCAAACCTTAAACCCAAATCTAAAACTAACCCCAAAGCAGAACTTAGACCTCAAATCTCAAACCTAAAGACTCTAAACACAAATCAAACCCAAACCTATCATTCCAAGCTTGAACCAAAACTCTAAACTAATCCCAAACCATAAGGATTCCAAACTTAAACAGTAACCCTAAACTCAAACCTTAAACTCAAATCTAAAACTAACCCCAAAGCAGAATTTAGACCTCAAGACTCAAACCCTGAACTCAAACCTAAAGACTCTAAACACAAATCAAACCCAAACCTATCAATCCAAGCTTAAACCAAAACTCTAATCTAAACTAATCCCAAAGCATAAGGATTCTGAATTTAAACATTAACCCTAAACCCAAATCTAAAGCCTGATATGAGACCTGTGGGCTGAGGCTGTATTCCGAAACTTTTCAGATCCATGCCTGAAGCCGATTCATAAACATTTATAAAAATGTAGAAATCTGGACTAAATCTGGATCATAATTACAGAGAAATCAGTAAATGATATGAATGCAATAAATGCAGCAAAATAAATAAAACACGGATGTTTTAGTGCAGAAACTCTGGAGTTCAATAAACTCATCAGATTTCAGCCTAAAATATCAGCCAAATCCCGAAATCACCATCCGTCCAAAGTTGATATATATTTTTAAGGAAATATTTGCCGATATTGATATGATTCTGATATAATCGCACTTCCAAACACCTAAACTGAAACCTTCTTAAAAATAAAAAGGCCAAATGGTTCTCTTTAGGGTTCTCTAATGGTCGGTTCTTTAGAGAACCAGAGACTTGTGTAAAAGAGATGTGTGAGTGGTGTAAAGAACCTCCTCGTGTTGCAAACCTTTACATTACGTTGTTCACACTCTCAAAGTTCTTTTTCAAATGTAGTTCTTTTATGGAACCAAAAGCGGTTCTATGACATCAAAGAGCTCTTTGCGGTACCTTATTTTTTTAAGACGGCATCTAAACTTTAAACACAACCCTAACCTTAAACCTAAACCCCAATCCTGCACCTAAGCTCAAATCAAACAGAAACACAAACCCTAAAGGGGAATTCCACCAATATTACCAAATTTCTGCATAATCAAAATGGTTAATTCATGGTTATTTTGCTCTTAATTTATTATTATTATTATTAATGTGAAAGGCTGTGTTGGAGAGGGAGGTGCTGTGCTCCAGAACTGGAGACACTAATGACAGCAGAGTTAATGTAGTATTCTGTTAAATACTGTTGTGTTGTGCATGAAGTGAATAAGAATTAAAATATTTCAGATTTACTTTGGTTGTTAAAATGGTTCCAACTAAAATGTGAAGGGATTACGACATTTATGACTCATTATATGTTTCATAAACTGTTTTTTGGGGGAGTCAAGTCCCTTATCTGCATTCTTCTTGTTCAAAATGCTCAATAAAACTGCTAAATAAATAAATAAATAAATAAATACATACATACATACATACATACATAACTCAACCAACAAACCTGAAGGGATAAAAGGATAAAATGCCACTGTTAACCAACAAAAACAGGGTTATTTATGCATCTGAAATTGTTTTGTTCAGAAAAAACATAAACTATGACCTATACCGTCAGAAATTTTAATTATACCCATGATAATTTTTTTTTGCCCACACCACCCACTGCTAGTAAGGAGTGAACGAGGGTGCGCAGCAGCAGGTTTAACGTCGGAGGAGGTACAAGACTGGAAAAAGTTTGGGAACCACAGCTCTTCAAAGAACCAGCTCACATCAAACCACTCTGAATGACTGTTTACAAAAAAAAATTGAATTATGTTGAAATTTTGAAGATGTGGTTGACTTCTCCTTTCTACTATGCAGACACCTGGTTCCTATCACCACCACTGTGATCAATTCTGACTCAGTAGGTTTTTGTAGAACTCACTTCACACCAAACCACTTCTGAATGACTTTGTTTACATTTTAACCACTTAACTATGGAGGAAATTTTGAGAAGAGGGTGGATCCCCCCTTTTCAGACGTCTGGATCTTATCTCCACCACTGTGAGCGATGCTGGCTCGATAAGTTCCTCGAGAACGCAGAACCACTCTTAATGACTTATTTACCTCAGATACAAATTTGGAAGCAAAGGTGGACTTCCCCTTTAAACTCTTCAGACGTCTGGTTCCTATCAGCCCCACTGTGGACAATTCTGGCTCGGCAAGTTTCTCTACCACACTCACTCAGAACCACTCTGAATGACTTCGTTGACATCTTGGACATTTAATTAGGCAGAAAATTTTGTAAAAAATCGGTGGGATCGCCCTTTAAGCCCAAACCAGTATCGATACTCATCATCATTAATCTTCATAAACTCTCGAAACCGAACATTAGCACTTCGAACTCCGCTCATAAACCCGTTCTGGGATCTGAGGGGATTGCTGGAGGCCAGTTTCGCCCATCAAAAAAAGACGATCATCTTTAATAATAATGTTTTTATTTACTTTATGCTGCTGTTTGCATATGACTGACCGACTGCAGCTCCACCTCGCTCTGCTCTGCACTGCTGCCCCTCACAGAGCCTCTGTTTACCCCCCACCCCATTCATTAGCATCAATTAATAAATGGGCTGCTGTGATTATAAGAGTGTGAACAGAGCCTGGACACATGCAGGACGGACACACAGGCGTGCACGGCCCATTTGTATGCATGTTGGGCTTACAAACTATCCCAGCTTGCCTGCTCTGCAGCCATGTGGCTCGTTTCCATGCACCGCGCACGCGCACGCAAGGCACAGGGGGTCTGAAAAATGTGCTAAAATGCATAAATAAGGATGAATGATCAAGTTTAGCCTTCATGCAAAGTGGGCTTCCAACTTGTCGTTCGAACTCCCCGTTCCACCTTAAACGGTGCAGCAGTTACATTGTGGCGCCTCAGGCGCCACAATGTAACTGCTGCACCGTTTAAGGTGGAACGGGGAGTTCGAACGAGAAGATTTAAATTTCGCAAAAAAAAACACGCCAGCTGTAGTTAAAAACTTCTTTACTCACCATTGCACCAAACACGCAGTCCTCTGCGGAACAAAAAAAAAATGCAAAAAAATATATCTACAAAAATATTTTCCGCTTATGAAATCAGTTCATCAAACACCTCCCCGCACTTGTGCTTTTCGCTTAAAACGACCTACTATGTGTTTTCGCTCGTGGGCGGCTCTCCAGGCACAAAGATCTGTCTTTTTTTCCTTTTTTTTTCCTAGTAGAAAAAGCATTGTGGCTCACTGCGCATGCGCGGAGACGGAAAACGGGTGGGTTTTGTTTCCTTACCCGTTTTCTGACATCCCGCCCTGCTGAGCTGTGATTGATTGTTGAGCCGCTTCATCCTGCTTTAGGATTGGGTACCGAACTTCTGGCCAATCCTAGAGCGGGAGGGCGCGGCCTGCCTGAAAACGGGTGCGGAAAAAAAAGAATCAGCGCTTGTTTATTGGGTTGCACTTAATAGTGACGATAATAATAATGTTTGCTTGTATAGCACTTTTCACACAGGGCAAGTGCTGTTGCTTATCAATAATGGATAATAGTGGATAAATAATAAGAAAATAATAACAACAGAACACAGAGATTGAAGGATATGATTGATGTGGGTTAATAAAAATACATTAGAATTGTCACAGCAATGACTTTAAGTCATTAACTTAAGTTTAAGTCATTTATCTTAAGTTTATATCATCCAGTGATGTTCATAGGTTGGTCAGAACTGGGTTTAAAGCCCTTTAAAGTTAAAATAATTGTATAAAATTATCATTTTTTACAGTAAAGAACCACAAAAGGAACCTGCAGAATTGTTCTTCCCCACAATACAGCAACATCAACACACAACATGCTCCTTAGGGCAGTTGAGGCCTTCAAAGAGGCCAGAAATAAACTGAGAACATGTGTAATAGTAATACAGTGCAAAAGGAGAGATCTAAGTAGTGTTCATTGTAAAATATGCGCAGCGGGGGCCTCATTTACAGCTCAATGGCTGATGACCTGTCATGTCGGCCCTTGAAGAGCCACTTCGGCTTCCTTTCATGCTTTCTGCTCTGGCACTTGTTAAATGTGTGGGGTGTTTAAGAAGAAGGGGGGGGGGTGTTAGTGATGGAGGTGGTGGTTGTTGGGGGGGGGTGGTATAAAAGGCCAGGCTGGTGCCCTGACCTGTCATTTCCAAGCTGCTGACCTAACCATGAACATGCTAGGAGTTTTATTCCCACTGCTGTATTCCCAGCTCCTCCTGGACGCAGCCTTTGGGATCCACAGGAACGTCAGTGCTCCTCGCCACCACCCGCCGTCCTACATGATGCGCCTTTATCGCAGCTTCAGACCCAGCCAGACCCCATCCGAGGATTACACGGAGCAAGACAGGTCCAAGCAGGCCGACACCATCCGGAGCGTCATGTCCAAGAGTAAGGAGCTGCCGTGTTTTATTTTTATCTTTTTTTAGAGTTTTTAAGGCTTTGGAAAAGCAAAAAGATGGAATAATTAGAGTAGATAGAGGAGAGGCAGGTGTATTTCTGTAGTTTAGAGTTTAGTTATACTTTAAAAACTCCCCCAAGACAGTGTGCTAACTCTGTCCCAGCTACTAAAACATGTAAATACCCTGTACAGGTGGGTTTAGAGCTGGGACAGAGCAACCACATGGCCTGGTTTGGGAAACACTGCAGGATAAACCATCTAATATCTTGTAAGCAGTTTGTAACCCTTAACTCACATAGGGGCCTAATTCTGTGTGTATATATAAACTACAACACACAAGGGGGAAAAAATTAAACATACTGTATAAAATGTGCCATAAGTTTTGGCCATACTGTAGTATTTTTCCCCAATAAGTTAACATTAGAAAATAAACAGTTTTTATTTTTTTACATTAACTTATAAAACAGTGACTTTTTAATTCTACCTACAAAATGTAATTTAACTGGGGTTGGGGGGGTGCCCAAACTTTTGCACACTGCATTTTTTACGCATGTGTGTATTTATTTATTTATTTTTTGCTTTGTCTGCCAACACCAGCCACCCTTTACATTATTTGAAACTTTTATTTTACTTTTACTTTTATTTATTGATTGATTAATTTGTTTACATTAACTTACAGTTAATGTAAGTGAAGAAAGTTACTGTTGTTGCTTGTTTTCCTCTTCAAAGGTTCCTATTTTGGAGATGACATGTTTGAATAGAGTTATACATTTTATAAAAGTATAGAAGTAAAAGTTTCCCAGTATCTTCAAAACGGAAACTTTATAGAGGCCAAAAACTTTCTTAACTTTTAATGCAGGTCAATATTCCAAGCTGTTTTTGGAGAATCGCTATTAGAGCAGTTTGTTTGTTTATATATGTATATATATATATATATATATATATATATATATATATATATATAATATATATATATATGTTTGAAGCACCCTTTGTTCGCTCAGTCAAGAGATGCACATACCTGAACGCTTCACTGTGCATCAGTGTGTGTTGTGTGTTACTGCGGCCGTGGCGCAGAGCTTTGCGCCGGATTTTGCGCTGTTTGTTTGAAGGCCCCAGGCTGTCAGATGAGGAGGTGTTTAACCCAGACAGCTCGAGGAGGCCAATCCACATCCTGAGCAGAGCCTCAGAGCCTCGGAGCTGCTGCTGCTGCTGCTGTAATGTGGATTAGCATCTCGCCAGACTTCCCCATACAAATCACATGTTAGCCCAAATCCACATCAGCGCTCTTCACACATGCGCCTGATTAGATTAGCCGGCCTGCCCCGCGCGCGCGCGCGCTCGCGCAAAGGGGTGAGGGTGAGAAAGCCGGAGCCTGCGAGCCTGTTTGAAGAGGATGTGCGCGCGGGATGTGCTAAACGATTGGTTTCGATCCGGGGTCTGTTTGGAGAGGGGATTAAAGCAGCGCGGGCTCCCGCGTACTAACACACACACACACACACACACACACACACACACACACACACCATTGGTTTCTGACTATTAATCAAAGCTCAAGGCGTCTCTCTCGGGCCACACCCTCCACCTGCGGGCGCTCACACTGCGCCTCCGTTCGGGCCCAGCTCGCGAGCAGGTCAGCATCCTCAGAGTCAACATCTCAGCCTCCTGTCCACTTCATTTAGACCTCACTTTATCAGATCTGCTCCTGGAGGCCCACTGACCGCACATCTCAGCGCTTCTCCTGACACTTTGACCCAGAAACCGATGGAAGAACAATATATAGTAATTAAAGAAGTCATGATAAAAGTTTTAGAGCAAGTTTTCCATAATTATGACTTTGTATCTCACAATTGTGACATAGCAACTCATTATTACGACTTGCTGTCTCGTAGTAATGAGATTCAATCTCATAATTATGGCTTAATATTGCTTGATTTTGACTTACTTTCTCATAGCTATGACTTAATATCTCATAGTAATGAGATTCAGTCTCATAATTATGACTTAAGTATCCCAATAATGAGATTCATTTAGCATCTCATAATGATGGCTGTCATAATTATGACCTACCTTCTGACACAATAATTATTATATCAAGTCATAATTATGAGAAACTTCATTGTTATGAAGTTTCCATACATTACTGAGTTAAAGGAGCAGGTAAAGCACTGAGATGTGGGGGGCAGTGAGGCTCCAGGAGTAAAAACACTGGTTTATACCCCCATCCGCCCAGCCTGGGACCACTCAGAGCCTCTTCACTGCTGAGATCCAAACTCAGTCCCATCATTTAGAGACCTGTATCCCCACCAGGCAGTCAAGAGCATTAAAGGGCCGATACTGTACTTTTATTTCCATATTTTGCATTTACTACAGCGAACCTTTTTCAGTTTACATCATCTAAAGCAGCAACTTATTCTCAAATGTTTCTTAAAAGTGCGTTTTGAAATGGGAAAGAGACCAAAAATTCTCATAAATGCCATTTTTTGGGTTTTCCCAGGAGTTTTCCTGAGAATGTCCTCACTCAGGGTCCTCTAAGCCACCGTCACTGTGGTTTACATTCATAAACAGGGTTTCAGTCCTGAGTAAAACAGAGAGAGACCAACACAAAACGTCATAAACGTCAAATGATTTCCATTTTTAAAGAATTACTCAGATCCTAAACTCACTCCTTTCGCCTCTTCACGCAGGTTTGACCTACCGAGACGCACGCTGGGTCGCAACCTTTGACTTCTCCTCCCTGCTGTCAGACCACCACGTCCAGACGGCCGAGCTGAGGATCCGCGTCCCCCCAGCAACCGGCCGCCCAGGGAACGTCACCGTGGAGATCCAGCATCAGCAGGACCGTCCGTGCCACCGCCACGACGTCTGTCTGGAGGACCAGTCGATGGGGCTCCTCCCAGAATCCTCTCTGATCAGCTCGTCCAGCCACTGGAGGGTCTACAACGTCACCTCCCAGCTGGTCCAGTGGATGGAGAAGACGCTGTCTCAGAGGAAAAGGAGGCTGCCGAGGATCAGGAAAGACCACCCAGGCCTGAAGGCTGCGCCTAACGGAGCCAACAGGGCCATGCTGGTCGTGTTCTCTCACACGGGATCAAAGAAGGGCCCTCAGGACAAGGCGAGTCTCCTCCGGACGGCAGAGCGCTCCAAGTTCCTGCTGGCGTCGGACGGTCAGGTGGTTCAGAGGGTGAAGCGGCAGAGGAGCCGGAGAGGTCAGCCCATAAAAAGGCATTCGGAGACCCTGAGGCCAGAGAAGGAGAAGAAGAACCTGTGCAGGAGAGTGGACATGCACGTGGACTTCAACCAGATCGGATGGGGCTCCTGGATCGTCTTTCCCAAGAAGTACAACGCCTATCGCTGCGAGGGAACCTGCCCCAGCCCGCTGGGGGAGGACTTTCAGCCCACAAACCACGCCTACATGCAGGTAATGCTCTCTTCACTGCACACCTGGTTGAAAAAACCTACCACAAAATTAGCAAATATAGTCAAATATCCACACTTGAATTATCACCACAGTGTCCATAGTGGAGACCAGGCGCTTAAAGACTGAGGTCCCTACCGCTCTTAGCTAGGACATTTGGTTCTAGATATCATTTGGAAGGTTCTTCACACTTACACATCTCATTTACAGCACTAATGGTTTAAAGAAGCCAGTGAGAGGGTCTTCAAGTTACCAAGAGGTGGTTCTTCTATGGCACTGAACCAAAGTACCGTCTATTTTTAAGAGCGCTGTGGGACGTACAGTCGTGTGCAAAAGTTTGGGCACCCCTGGTCTTATGAAACGTTTTGTTTATTCTTGTTTTAAATGAAAATAAGCTCAAATTTAACTTTAAGTTTAATGCACAAATTGTGTTTATTTGCTAAATTTAATATATTGGGAAAATAAAAAAAAATAAATGTGACCAGCACAAAAAATGATGGCACATTTTTATATTTTATGTTTTATTTTTTCCAGCAAACTGTTGCAGAAAAACGGTATATTAAATCTGAATTAAACCTACACTGTTAATAAATATGGCTCTTCAAGAGTTCTTTAGTAAAGAGAACGGTTCTATTTAGAACCATTCGTTCTATATAAAACCATTTCATACTTAAAATGGTCCTTTCCGTTGTGAAAAGGTTCTTCAGATTAATGCAGGATGTGTTGTATATGGTTTTGTATTGAACCTGTTTGAAAATGGTTCCATATAGCGCCAAAAACGGTTCTGCTATTGCTATGATTTCAAGTTTGTAACAATAGCAGACCCCTTTTTGGTGCTACATAGAACCATTTCTCCATCTGAGGAACCATTTTTTCCATGCAAAGGACCATTAAATCATGAAATGGTTCTAAATAGAACCATTTCTTTACTAAAGAACCCTTAAAGAACCATCATTTTTAAGAGTGTAGTAAAAGACTAACTAGTTTGCGATGGTGATGGTGAATCGGCATTGAATTTGTTTTAAAAGTGTTTGTTCTACTTAAGTAAACGTGCAAAAGTGACTGTACATCATAATGAAAAGTAAAGGTACTTCTAGTCATTGTGGATGTGATGGATACACAACAGAGCTTATTCGTTACACATATACAGTTGGATAAGATCCAAAATAACTCAAAGCGGTGCTACTTTAATATTTCTGTACTGTTGAGTAGAAATACAGAAAGAATTCTGAAGTAATATTTGACTGCAGTACAGAAGCGTCTTATCATCTTTCTTTTAGAAAATGCTTCATGAACTCTACTCAGACTGTCATGTCAACATCTGACTGGCTCAGAATTTAACATGTATCGTCTCCGTTCTCCTCCGCAGAGCCTCCTGAAGCATTACCACCCTGGCCGAGCTCCTTCTCCCTGCTGCGCTCCAACCAAGATGAGCCCCCTCAGCATGCTCTACTACGAGAACGGGGAGATGATCCTCCGGCACCACGAGGAAATGGTGGTGGAAGAGTGCGGCTGCCTGTGAGAGCCTGCCTGGATCATCCGCCCGCCTCGTTTACCCCCTTCTGAGGGTCTTCCTGGACCAGTATGCATGTGTTCTTCAAGCCCAGAGCATGGCAAGTCAGTGTTCTCCAAGAAAAACCAACAAGGGATGGTCTGAACTGCCTGAGCCGGTGAAGCAGCAAGCTGCGAGCTTCCATTACTGTTAGCTATGTTAGCTTCATTGCTAATGTAAGCCGTCCTTGAGTTCTGGAGTGTATCTAGTCAACGTTCTCCAAGAAACACCAGCATGGAAGGTGCACCTGCATGTGATTAATGGGATTTTGCCTGAGCCAGTGTCTTTCTTAGTGGACCAGCAATCTGAGCTTCCATTACTTGATAACTGTGTTAGCTTCATAGCTAATTCCTTGATCTTGAAGCGCACCAAGTCAACGTTCTCCAAGAAACGCCAACAAACCTCGGCTCTGGGTTGGTGTGATGTACCTGAGTGACTGTTGGGACTCTTTTTGCTGGCTTATCATCATCCTTTCACCCTTTAAAGCGATAGTTTGGTGAAAAATCGAATTTGCGCAATTTTCTCCTAAACGCTAAACTTCGCTATCAGTAAAAATGGACAAAATGTCCACTTTTATAGAAAACGGTGTGTCTTCTGTGTGAGAAGCCACACAATCAATTCTATTAGAGATTACTTAACAAGTGATGCATGCAGTTAGCACTGTGCTAACCGGTGGGGCATTGCTTTTTAGCTACATTAGCCTCGTAACTCCAGTGCAAAGGCTAAAGAAGCTAATTTTGGACACCAAAACATATTTTGGATGCCTGATTTCATTGGCAGGAAACTGTGCATTTGAATTTCTTGCCAAACTATCAGCTCAATGTGAAAAAGATCTTCAAACAGTATTTGTGGTATTTAACGAAGAACCCTGTGAGGTTCTCAAGCACTGTGTATGCATTTAGAACACGCTGCCTGGCGTGACAACCCGTGTACATATTTACTGTAAATAATAGCAAAGTACAAATATTTATATTTATTATTATTTATGATTCTTTGATTAGAATGATATTTTTGCAGGAAGAAATAAATTTCTATAAATGAATATTTGTTTTGTGTTCTTTTCTATGAAATAAGTTCATAATCAGTTATGGATTCATAATAAACAACAGTGATCCTAGCTGAGCTCTTCTGATCGGTGCTGAATTATTATTTTTTTGTTGAGTTATCTTTTAAAATCTGAGATTCTGAATGTTTTTAAGAGCGCTGTGGGACGTACAGTCATCTGCAAAAGTTTGGGCGCCCCAGTCATGTGATACATTTTATTTATTCTTGTTTTATATGAAAATAAGCTCAAATTTAACATTAAGTTTCATGCAATAAATGTTGTTTATTTGCTAAATTTAACATATTTGGGGGGGGGGACTAAAATGTGACCAGCGCAAAAATTATGGCACATTTTATATTTTACGTTTTATTTTTTTTCCAGCAAATTAAAACAGAAAAATGCCTTATTAGATCTGAATTTTCTGAATTGTGTAAAACTCCATGAGAAATGTTTGTCTGTTTACGTCCAATGACTAAATTTAGTATGATGAGATAAAATAACACACAACTAGTTCTGATTGGTCGAGAGCAGGGGTGTCAAACTCCACCACTGAAGGGCCTTTTCACAAAAACCCAAACAATTCTGTGGGCCTGAGAACCTCAGTGTTTGTATTTGATTTCTAAATAACCTTAAGCTATAACCCAAACTGACCATTGTTTATTCAACATATTACCACTGCTGTGAATAAACTTGGTAAGTTTCTCTAGAAAATATCATTTCCAAATCAATTTAGGGGACAATTAAGACTTTCACAGATGCTTTTGAGTGACTTAAACTCACCCAGTTCACCCCAAGCCTTTACTAAAACACCCAAAAGAACACAAAGAACGTTATGAGGGAAACTCTGGTGGATCAGGCCTGCATGCATTTATTTTAATTTCCCTTTTTTATTTGACTTCCCTTAGCTTTTCAGTTAAAAGTCTGAAATGCGTGTGTTTTTAAAGGGGAATTCCACCAAATGTTTCAAAATTTCAGTACAATCAAATGGTTAAGATGGAGAATCTATCTTGATAGATTTGTATCTATACAGATTACAATAGGACTGAACTGGGGCCATTGTTTATTCAAAACACCAACAGCAAAAATCAAACATAAATAAATTATATATGTAAATACACCGATCAGGCATAACATTCTGACCACCTCCTTGTTTCTACGCTCGTTGTCCATTTTATCAGCTCCACTTACTATATAGGTGCACTTTGTAGTTCTACAGTTACAGACTGTAGTCCATCTGTTTCTCTGATACTTTGTTAGCCCCCTTTTACCCTGTTCTTCAGTGGTCAGGACCCCCATGGACCCTCACAGAACAGGTACTGTTTGGGTGGTGGATCATTCTCAGCACTGCAGTAACACTGACGTGGTGGTGGTGTGTTAGTGTGTGTTGTGCTGGTCTGAGTGGATCAGACACAGCAGTGCTGCTGGAGTTTTTAAACACTGTGTCCACTCACTGTCCACTCTATTAGACACTCCTACCTTTGTGTTGGTCATCCTCTAGTCCTTCATCAGCGATCACAGGACGCTGCCCACCAAAAATATCCGCTGTTGGCTGGATGTTTTTGGTTGGTGGACTATTCTCAGTCCAGCAGTGACACTGAGGTGTTTAAAAACTCCAGCAGCGCTGCTGTGTCTGATCCACTCAGACCAGCACAACACACACTAACACACCACCACCACGTCAGTGTTACTGCAGTGCTGAGAATGACCCACCACCCAAATAGTACCTGCTCTGTGAGGGTCCATGGGGGTCCTGACCACTGAAGAACAGGGTAAAAGGGGGCTAACAAAGTATCAGAGAAACAGATGGACTACAGTCTGTAACTGTAGAACTACAAAGTGCACCTATATAGTAAGTGGAGCTGATAAAATGGACAATGAGTGTAGAAACAAGGAGGTGGTCAGAATGTTATGCCTGATTGGTGTATATATAGGCTTCATTATTCATGTTATAATGCATACTATGCACATTACAATAGGCTACATTACATTGTATTATGCACATTATGTTGCAGTGCATGTTGGGGATTGTAGTAGCACATTATGAAACTGGCTACTATTAAAATAACATTAAAATAGTTATGCAGGCTGAACAGCATTGTGCTGTGGGCCTGATCTTGTGTTTGACAAATGGGTCTAGAGTGATATACTTTGGATAAATATCTAACAGAAGCTCATTCAAATTGTTTGTTTACATAAAATTTTAATATTTTATTCACAATCAAACTTGTTTCATTAAAAACAGTAGTTATGTGACCAAAAAGATTGAAGTGAATAATAAATACATTGATAGAAACTGATTTTCCAGGCATGCAGTTTGATCAGTTTTTAATGACATTAGTGAGTTCATATTTGATCCTAACAAAATGAACCTGAATCCAAATCTGAACTCCACTTCCTGCACAAAAGAGCTGCAGTTCTGAGCCCTTTGTGGTGAGTCTAGATTTACCCCGGTGGGCCGCGAGCCTGGCCGGCTGTAAGGTCAGCGGGTCACGGACTGAATACACATACAGCCCTTTTCTTTTGTTGGGCTGAAAGAGGCTCTGCAGCCGGGATGCGCCAGGGTCCTTCCAGAAGAACCTGAACACCCACCGCGCAAAGCTCACACAACACGGGTACGTAAGTACAATCTGACTTTTAACGTCTAAATTTCTCTTTAAGATAGTTTTTAAATCTGTTTCAGGTGTCAAACATGTTTTGTGAAGGCTTAGCTATGAATTGTGATTTTTTTAAAGGGAAATTCCACCAATTTTTCAAAATTTTTACATAATGTAGACATTACACCTGTTTACAAGATAATTCAGAGTGGTTTGGTGTGAAATGGTTCAGATGTCTTTACAGTGGTGGTGATAGGAACCAGGGGTCGCCATGACTACAACACAAATATAGACATTTTATTTACTATCCAGAACCACCAGTGAACCTACACGAGTCTTCTGAGTTTATATGGAACGTTGATGATGATAAATCTGAAAATAATACGTTTTCATTGGGGGACTATTTTGCTTTACAACACCCTGCATGTATCCCTCCACCATGAATGGAGATTTTAGAGGCATTAAACCGTTCAGACGTCTGGTTCCTATCACCACCACTGTGAACATTTCTGACTTGGTAAGTTTCTCTAGAATGGAACGTTTCACACCAAACCACTCTGAATGACCTTGTTTACATCTGAAATGTTAAACTATGCAGGTGTTTTAGAAAATCAGTGGAATTCTCCTTTAAGAAGCAGGTATTTCGGATTTTTATCTGCAAAACTCCTCTGAAATAAGTAAAATAAAAAAGAGAAAATGAAAAGAAATGAATGCAGTCCTGCTGCACCAGAACATAACTTATAACTTAAGTGTGATATGTCCTTTAATGTGTTTTATGAAAGGTTTGCGGTGACCTGGGTGAGTTTTAGTCACTAAAAAGCATTTCTGAAAGTCTTATTGGTCCCATAAATTGATTTGCACTCATTTATGGATCAGCATGTTTAGCTGGTATTTAGAAGAGTTCTAGCTTAAGATGCAGAGACATGATCACATGCTAATGCTAATGTGTTGCATATGGTTCTACATAGTACCAAAAAAGGTTCTTCTATCGGTACAACCTTGACATCAGAACTGCTACATAGAAGTATTTTTTAGATAGCATCTTTATATAGAATCATATACAACACAATCCCCATCAGTCTGAAGAACCATTTCACCATATTTTATATCTTATTTAAAATGATGGTTCTTCAAGGGTTCTTTAGTAAAGTGAATGGTTCTGTTTGCAACCATTAATTCTGTATAGAACCATTTCATGCTTAAATGGTTCTTTGCATGCTGAAATGATTGTTCTCAGATTGATAGAGAACATGTTGTATATGGTTCCAAGCATAAGTTTTCTGAAAATGGTTCTATGTAGTTAGCACCATAAAGCGTTCTGCTATAGTTACGATGTCAAGCTTGTAGCAATAGAAGAACCCTCTTTGGTGCTATATAGAGCCATTTCACCATGCAACGAACGATTTAAGCATGAAATAGTTCTTTACGGAGCTCATGGTTCTAAGTAAAATGATTCCCTTTACTAAAGAACCCTTTAAGAACCATCTTTTTAAAGAGTGTAGCATTAGCATTAGCATGTGATAATTTCTCTGCATCTTATGCTGGAACTCTTGTGAATACCAGCTAAACATGCTAATGTTCTATTTAGAACTCATTCCCTTTATAAAAGAACCTTTTTAAGAAGTGTATTTCAAATAAGACACCGAATTCAGTTCATTGAATAGCATGTTATGTTTTAACGTGTTATTTTTCCCACATTATTTTTTCTCCAAAAGCGATAAAGGCCGTTATCGCTGAGCTTGTGCTTAAAAAACTACAACTCCCATGATGCACTCGGGTAGCGATTAAAGCAAAAATAAATGTATTTATTCCTTCATTCATTTATTCACTTTGTTTCGAAATCTTTTTTTAATTACTGATCATTTCAAGCGATCTTCAAATGAAAATAAAAAGAAAGGCGGAACCCGAAACCGAAACCGCCGTTGCTTTTTGATCAATGATTGAAACAATAACAACAAAAAAAAACCGTTATGATTAGTTTCACAACCATCAATCAGCAATCAGTGTTTTTTTTATGCTATGATATTACGTCACGACACAAAAGAACTAACAGAGCAAAAAAATAAAAAAGAAATAAAATTAAATTAACGAAAAAATAAATCGCTGGTGGCTCCGCCCCCATCCGGGCACCGTCAGGCAGACAGCATGTGTTGAGCAGAGGCTCATAGACAGTGAACTACAGCAGCTCAGAGAGAAACTAAGCTAAAATCTCTAATAACAGCGACTTTATACGGGGTTAAACACGAGTTAGACCGTCTGATTCCGTCCAGTTAAAGTGTTTTGTCCCGGAGACACTCGGTGAGAACTCGTACTAGTTTGCATGAGAAGCCCGGCTGTGTTGACTGTGAGTGTTAATGCATGTCTTCCGCTCAAACATGTAAATAAGTCATAATATCGTGAAATAATTGTGATAATAACTGTGATAAAACACCGACCACCGCTGCACTATTTAACTGGACCCGCTTTTCTATTTATAGACCGCGCTAAAGTGAGCTTCCCATTCGAATTTCGCGTTCCACCTTAAATGGTGAAGCAGTTACTGCCTCTCCATTTAAGGTGGAACGCGAAATTCGAACAGGAAGCCTCGTGATTATAGCTGCCTTGGACGGATTTGACCAGATCAGCTCACCAAAGTGACATTTAGAGTCTCCAGCGGCGGCTGGTTCAGCCAGTGGCTTATATAACAAGAATAACACGGACTTTTTAAGCACTGCTGCTTGTGTGTCTCTTATTTACTGGCCAGTTTGTAAAGCCATTGTTTAACTGTGTTGAGTCTTCATTGAAAGCACCATGTTAAGGCTGAGTGCGGTAGTCGTTGTGTGCATGTAAAAAAAGGGGAAATCTTTGTGTTTTTTCCAGTAACAGCTAGTAAAAGTGGGCAAAGCGGACATCTGAGAGACTTTGCATTAACAATACATCAACCGAAATAATTCCAAATGATCTACCGTTCATTATAGCGTCCACTCTGTCCATCGCTCTGTGCCGGTCATGTGGTTTTTCCCCACTTTTTCATCATAAAATACGCATTAAGTTTCATTAAAAAAGCCTCTGATTCTGCCAGCTGAGCATCTGTGACTGCTGCAGTGACGGTTATAGTTTTGTTACTCATCACTGTTTTGTGCTCTTAGCATTATGACAGTTGTTTTGGCGTTGTGACGTCACTGTGGTCACTATGGTTACTGTTCTGCAGCATTGTGATGTGATTTTAGCATTATGATGTAACTGTGGTCACTATTTTGTTGCACTGTGATGCGATTTTAGTGTTATGATGTCACAGTGGTCACTATTTTGTAGCATTGATGTGATTTTAGCATTATTATGTCACAGTGGTCACTATTATGTAGAATTGTGATGCGATTTTAGCATTATGATGTCACAGTGGTCACTATTTTGTAGCGTTGTGATGTGGTTTTAGCATTATGATGTCACAGTGGTCACTATTTTGTAGCATTGTGATGTGTTTTAGCATTATGATGTCACAGTGGTCACTATTTTGTAGCATTGTGATGCGATTTTAGCGTTATGGTGTCGCTGTAGTCACTGTGGTCACTATTTTGTGGCATGGTGATGTGATTTTAGCATTATGATGTCACTGTGGTCACTATTTTGTTGCACTGTGATGCGATTTTAGTGTTATGATGTCACTGTCATTACTGTTTTGTAGCATTGATGTGATTTTAGCATTATGATGTCACAGTGGTCACTATTATGTAGAATTGTGATGCGATTTTAGCATTATGTCACTGTGGTCACTATTTTGTAGCGTTGTGATGTGGTTTTAGCATTATGATGTCACAGTGGTCACTATTTTGTAGCATTGTGATGCGATTTTAGCGTTATGGTGTCACTGTAGTCACTGTGGTCACTATTTTATAGCATTGTGATGTGATTTTAGCATTATGATGTCACAGTGGTCACTGTTTTGTAGCATTGTGATGCGATTTTAGCGTTATGGTGTCACTGTAGTCACTGTGGTTACTATTTTGTAGCATTGTGATGTGATTTTAGCGTTATGACTGTGGTTAACTGTTTACACCAAACGGAGATGATGACCTTCTCACTGTGTTCAAAGCAGGATTTCTCAGTTTAGCCAGATAAGCTAAGCACAAGGTCAAGCCTGTCCAGTAGGAAAGGAGCTGAGTGACACTCCTATTGGACGGTGCTCATCGTTCGGCTTGAGTTATCTGGCTAACTGAGAAATCCTGCTGTGTGAAATGCCCCCAGGGTGTTCAGATTTTGTAAACAGCTGTATATTTGTGTTTATATTGTTGAGGCAGAGCTGCTTCTGACCCAGAAACATTCTCTGTCCGCAGACCCGTCAGGCTGGGACAGGATGGCAGAAGCGGTGGCGAATGTGGCCAGGAGGATAAACGCAACGGCGGAGGAGGGAAGAGACACGTTAGGTCAGATCTGCAGTGTTAAACGTAAACCTGAGTAAACAAAGTACAATCAGACTTATATATACACATATATCAATATTTGTCATTTTTCAGTTTATGTCATAATTTGAAAATGCCTGTTGCCCTTTACATTATGTGTAAATTTCATGATGAATGGATCAAAAGAAACGGCCCAAAAATACTTAAAATAATTCTAGTTCCATTGACTTACATTAAAAGTAAAGTATGTTTTTTCCTTCTCCTGTAAAGTTACCATTTTGGAGATATGAGGTTTTGTTCCGACAGCAGCGATATATATATATATATATATATATATATAGAGAGAGAGAGAGAGAGAGAGAGAGAGAGAGAGAGAGAGAGAGATTCAGAGTGGTTTGGTGTGAAATGGTTCAGATGTCTTTACAGTGGTGGTGATAGGAACCAGGCATCGCCATGACTACAACACAAATATAGACATTTTATTTACTATCCAGAACCACCAGTGAACCTACACGAGTCTTCTGAGCTTTATATGGGATGTTGATGATGGAAAATAGTGGAAAATCTGAAATTATAAGTTTTCTTTGGGGACTATTTTGCTTCACAACACCCTGCATATTATGTATCCCTCCACCATGAATGTATATTAAAACTTGATCTCAAAACCATCATAAAAAACAGTGTCTCAGTCATCAGGCACTGAATTCATAAAAATTTCATGCAGTGACTTTCTATGAGGGAGCTTTTAGAGGTGGACGTCTGGTTCCTATCACCACCACAATTCTGCCCCCTGCTGGACACACCTTAAACTGCACAAATAGCAGGTGGTAAAACAAAGTAAATCGTCTTATTGGGAATAAACTGTTTCTCACACATTGACTAAAGTTGTTAAACTTATTCAGCCCAAAGGCTGCTTGAGTGCTTCCATATATGCTGTCAGAAGTTTGGAATGACGTAATTACAACTGAAGACGTGTTAGATGTGTCCAGAAAGATGAACAGATCATCTAGAATGACTGAGAAAGAACATTCAGAATGAAGTTCCAATGAAATTAATACTCAGGTGTGTTGAATATGCATGTATTTTAAAAAATGTGGACAAAACATAATATAAGGGTTATTTTATTTAGCATTTAACAACCATAAGTTGTTCCTAAAATATTTTAAATATTTTGAATTAAAATGTAAAGATCATTTTGTCGTTTAACTTATGACTTATTATAATTATTGTATATAAAATAACAAACTATTAATTTACCATTTCATATGAAGCTTGATGTGTTCCACTTCTCTGCTCTGCTCAATAGATGGCGCTGTTGTGCTGCTTCAGTTTCCAATGCTGAATGGATTCATATTCCAATCTCTGCCTTTATACCGGCTCATTTAGATCAATGCAACACAAACAAAACAAAGACACACAGTTTAATCAGATTCATTGTGGAGCCAATTACAGTTTCTGAAAAGCACACAGAGATCAAGTGGCTCTAAATCACTCTTTTTAACCTTTTCTCCTGCGCAGGGCCGCTAGTGCTGATTGGTCACGCGTGATTGTGTTATTCAGAGCACGGAGGTGGTGTGATAAACACAATACAGTCATTAGACTCTCCACATGCACCGTCCACTGAGTGTATCCCTGCTTCACTCTCTCTCTCTCTCCTTTCAGACCTGTCCGAATGCAAGCTGATCAGTTTTCCTGACGGAGTCTTCAAAGTGCTTCGCAGTTGCACAGAAAACATACGCAAAATCACACTGGCCAACAACGAGGTGAAGGCCCTGACCAACAAGTTCTTCACCACCTTCACTCAGTTACGAGGTGAATTTTTACAGCTGTCTCTGTTTTACGTTAAGTGGCATTACAAACATACACCAATCAGACATAACGTTATGACCACCTCCATTGTCCATTTTATCAGCTCCACTTACTACATAGGTGCACTTTGTAGTTCTACAGTTACAGACTGTAGTCCATCTGTTTCTCTGATACTTTGTTAGCCGCCTTTTACCCTGTTCTTCAGTGGTCAGGACCCCATGGACCCTCACAGAGCAGGTACTATTTGGGTGGTGGGTCATTCTCAGCACTGCAGTAACACTGACGTGGTGGTGGTGTGTTAGTGTGTGTTGTGCTGGTACAAGTGGATCAGACACAGCAGTGCTGCTGGAGTTTTTAAACACTGTGTCCACTCACTGTCCACTCTATTAGACACTCCTACCTTGTCAGTCCACCTTGTAGATGTAAAGTCAGAGACGATAGCTCATCTGCTGCTGCACAGTTTGTGTTGGTCATCCTCTAGTCCTTCATCAGTGGTCACAGGACGCTGCCCACAGGACGCTGTTGGCTGGATATTTTTGGTTGGTGGACTATTCTCAGTCCAGCAGTGACACTGAGGTGTTTAAAAACTCCAGCAGCACTGCTGTGTCTGATCCACTCAGACCAGCACAACACACACTAACACACCACCACCACGTCAGTGTTACTGCAGTGCTGAGAATGACCCACCACCCAAATAGTACCTGCTCTGTGAGGGTCCATGGGGGTCCTGACCACTGAAGAACAGGGTAAAAGGGGGCTATTCACCATCTTCTTGTTTGAATTTTCTCATTCCCCCTTAAACGGTGCAGCAGATACATTCTGGTGCTTCAGGTGTCAGAACTGCTGGACTATTTAAGGTGGAACGGGAGAGTTAGCTAGCTAGCTACCGAGACATTAGCATGCTATTAGCATTGTTTTATGTTTGTTATGAAGAAAAGGGCCAAAATACACTGAAACAACATTAAACTAAGATGATATGATGGTTATTGTAATTTATTAGCAGAGAAAATTCTCACATTTGTGGGTTTCTTTGGTCTCTTGTTCAGCCATCTTGCCGATTTTTCTTTTTTTCTCATAACTCTCCATTTGGAGCCTCTGAAAAACCTCCGTTTGGAGGGTCATGTAGCCCCAACACTTCACCCTACCCCTCTATCTCAACAACAGTTGGGACACCCTACCCCTAGACGTGAACACACAAAACAGAGGGGTAGGGCTAAGTGGTAGGGGCGAGGGGTGAAATGGAATTTGGACCATAGAACCATGAACCCTCAAAGGACCCATTTTATTTTTACACTTATAACATTTGTGTGGTTTTACAGTCATGATTAATTTCTACATGATCTCTATTCATCACTTAGAATTACACAGACTGCACCTTTAAGACTGATGTATGTGAATTAGCTCTGTTCTGATTGGCTGCTCTGTATTGAGCCTCATTCAAAAAGCAGTCCAGGCTGAAACAACTTCAGTGTGAGTAGGTGAAAGCGTTGTTTAGACTGATTTAAAAAATGCTTTAGGTGGTTCTAAATAGAACCGTTTTGAACCTTCCTCTGTTTGTGTGAGCAGAGCTGGACCTGCAGGGGAACGTTCTCACCAAGCTCCCGGACGCGATCGGAGACATGGAGCATCTGGTGAGCATCAACCTCTCCAACAACAGGTTCAGTGAGTTTCCTGACCGTCTGACGGCCGTCCGCACTCTGGAGAACATCAACATGGAGAGCAACCAGATCTCAGGTAGGAGCTCAGAGTGAAAACACGGTGAGGTAAAGCACTGTTAGAGGAAACTTCAGTGGTTTTCAGCCTCACCTATATCTGCCTTACGTGATGCGTATGGTGAATAACCATGGTCAGTAATTTCAGCACATGCACTATATGGACAAAAGTATTGGGACAGCTACACATCACACCTACAGGAGCTTTTATGAATCCCATTCTAAATCCATAGGCATTAATATGGAGTTGGTCCCCCTTTACAGCTCTAACAGCTTCCACTCTTCTGGAAGCTTCCTACAAGATTTCGGAGAGAGTCTGTGGGAATGTGTGTCCATTCATCCAAAAGAGGATTTGTGAGGTCAGACACTGACGTTGGACGAGAGGGTCTGGCTCACAATCTCCGTTCTAGTTCATCCTAAAGGTGTTTGATGGGGTTGAGGTCAGGGCTCTGTGAGGGCCAGTCAAGTTCTTCCCAGCCTGACCTTATGGAGCTGCTTTGTGCACTGGGGCTCAGTCATGCTGGAACAGGAAAGGTTCTTCCACAAACTGTTCCCACAAAGTTGGAAGCTACAATTGTCCAAAATGTCTTGGTGCTGAGTCATTAAGATTTCCCTTCACTGGAACTGAGGGTTCTAGACCAACCCCTGAAAACAACCCCATATCATCATCCCTCCTCCACCAAACTTTACAGCTGGCACAGTGCAGTCAGGCAGGTAACGTTCTCCAAACCCAGACTCGTCCATCAGACTGACAGGTAGAGAAGCTGATTCATTACTCCACAGAATACGTTTCCACTGCTCCAGAGTCCAGTGGCGGCGCTTTACACCACTCCATCAGACGCTTGGCATTGAGCTTGGTGATGTAAGGCTTGTATGCAGCTGCTCAGCCAGGGAAACCCACACACACACATATAAATATATAAATAAAAGGAGATGGGGACAGTCATGCTCAGGCACGGTACAAAACACCTGGGTATAGTGCGAGTAGTGTGAGCTGGGTATAGTGTGAGTAGTGTGAGCTGGGTATAGTGTGAGTAGTGTGAGCTGGGTATAGTGTGAGTAGTGTGAGCTGGGCATAGTGTGAGTAGTGTGAGCTGGGCATAGTGTGAGTAGTGTGAGCTGGGCGTAGTGTGAGCTGGGTATAGTGCGAGTAGTGTGAGCTGGGCATAGTGTGAGTAGTGTGAGCTGGGTATAGTGCGAGTAGTGTGAGCTGGGCATAGTGTGAGTAGTGTGAGCTGGGTATAGTGTGAGTAGTGTGAGCTGGGCATAGTGTGAGTAGTGTGAGCTGGGTATAGTGTGAGTAGTGTGAGCTGGGTATAGTGTGAGTAGTGTGAGCTGGGCATAGTGCGAGTACACCTTTGTTTCTTATATCTGACTTTTTAGACCAACTGTTTCGATTTCGACTTACAAGTAGTTTCATTCGGTAGAACCAGAAACGTAACGTCGTCATATGTTGGTTTTCATGATATCACAAAAACACTTCATTCAAAACAGGAGCTTATTGTCCATATATGGACTGTAAGCACTGAATGTAATGCTTTAAAACGTTGGCAGTGTTTATGTACCACATCAGAGACTTTTATTTGAGGGAAATCCAGTTTTCCATGATGTGAGCCCAAGCGATTCCCTGCATTGCTGTTTGTATAGCAGTACTTGTTGAGCTCCTTAGGAGTTCGTTAGGGAGTTCTCACACACGCGACACGAGTAAACATAGAGAAAACAAGTAAACATGGGAAAGAAAGGGGAGTCACGAGGAAGCAGTGGAGCGCGGGGGGGCTGGGCTTTGGGCTCTGGAGGGGGTAAATAGGCAGGGGGGTGGATGGCTGTGATAAGCACACATACACAGGGTTCTGTAATAGGATGTTTAGAGGGAAAAAGCTCTGCAGGAGATGGATGGAGGGCTTATTAGCGTCCAGACTGCGACAACATCAGCTCGTGAGGTTTGCATGTGATAACGAAGTGAGGACGCAGCGGGTGACCGCAGGTCATGCATGTACATGTGTGTGTATCTATAGAAGCCTGCTGCCACCTTTAATGAGGAGAAAGTGTCGCTACTACATGGTCAGAAATAAGGGTACTGTACAGTGTTAGTGCACCCTTAAAGGGACAGCAGTGGTCTTAAGGTCCATTTCTTCGCCCTTCAGGTCTGATTTTATGCACCAAAACAACCAGAATGAATCTGAGTGACTATTTTCCAACCTCTGTTTATCCCTTAGAATTAAACTGACTGCCCCTTTAACCCTATATGCACGGCTATACAACCGCTGAGCGTCGCTCGGGCAGCCTTTAGCTGGTCGCTGATGGGCGTTTCGAAGCAAGAGCGGGCCGGCAGGAAGTTCAGTAGGATTGTGTGGTCATGCAGGCCACATTTTTAAAAGCATAGGACCTGTTTTCACCCAACCCAGCATAGTCTATATTTATTAACCTTTTAACCTGTTTTTGCCTGAAACAGCATAACTAAGTTTCTTTGTCATTTGCACAAAATGTCATAACATTCAGGCATTGAAATGCTTGTGGTGAGGCACAGATAATCACTCTACAGCAGGGCAGCATTATACACCGATCAGGCATAACATTCTGACCACCTCCTACACTCAGTGTCCATTTTATCAGCTCCACTTACTATATAGGTGCACTTTGTAGTTCTACAGTTACAGACTGTAGTCCATCTGTTTCTCTGATACTTTGTTAGCCCCCTTTTACCCTGTTCTTCAGTGGTCAGGACCCCCATGGACCCTCACAGAGCAGGTACTATTTGGGTGGTGGGTCATTCTCAGCACTGCAGTAACACTGACGTGGTGGTGGTGTGTTAGTGTGTGTTGTGCTGGTCTGAGTGGATCAGACACAGCAGTTGTATCTTGTCAAGTAAAATTATCTTTAACCTAGTCAATAAATCTCATATTTCTCCTGTTGAGATTGTTGTAAGGTTATATTAAGTTATATTATAGTAGATATTATATAGAAATAAGCAGATAATCTTATAAAAGGTGCACAACTATCTCAAAATGGGGAATATTAGTTGATATCGATTAGATTTAAGATCATTCCACTTGACAAAATACCAGTTTTTGCAGTCTGGGGGTGGTGCTGTGTGTGGTGGACTGTGTTTGGGCTTATCACGGGATCCACTGTAGGGCAAAATTCATATCATGAGAGAACGTCATGCTGTTATTCAGTTTTATACCGGTATACTGTCCACCCCTAATGGACCCGTGGATTTGTTAGCATTTGCTCATTCAGTGCTGATGTTGCAAATGAGACGATCGTAACTGCTGTGATTAGCGGATCATAAAACAGTTTGTGGGAATCGAGTCCTGAGGTTTCAAGCTTTCTAATGGCAAACTGCATCACTGTGTTCAATCAACCTTTGTTTAAAGTCTGTGTACATTAAGGGAGACCCTCATTTACAGTGTAGCCGAGCCAATACAGAAATCAGGGATTTAATTTTTTTTTTTTATAAATTGATTGTAAAAATATATCAAATGCTAAAAAAGTAATAATAATAATTATAATAGTAAATTTAATAGTATAAAGAACTTTGAACTTGCAACAGTAACTTGTATTAACAGATCAAATAGGGATAAAATAAAAAAAACATAGTTAATGAAATAACGATTTTTTTTTAGATTTTTATGGATTTTTTCCTGAGACAAATTTGGGTGTTATCCACATAACAGTGAAAACAAGTCTGAAGGGGCACATGGCATGACCGAGAGGGAGTGTATAAATAATAAACGAGAGGTCCGAGGACTGAAACTTGTGGAACTCCTTGATTGACAGCAGAGGTGGAGGAAGTACAGCCAGCGAAAATAATGAACTGCCTTCTACCCTGTTAAGTGTGATGTGAACCAGTCCAGGTCAGAGCCGCCAGCGTCCAGCTGACGCAGCCTTGACAGGAGGACTGTTCAGAAGCTGCGCTTAAATCAAGGGCTTGAAGTGATTAAGAGGCAGTAATCACTGTTTTGGGAAACTGACAGAACTAAAGAAATTAGAAACGAAAGAATTAGAAGTTGGAGTTCACGTTCCTTTTAGAAGAGTGTGGGGGCGAATCCCAATCCAGTAGTCGAGTGAGGTGCGGTCGAGTCAGGTCAAGTTTATTTCTGGCGCACAACTAATCAAAATCGAAACATTTATAAACAAACAGAAGCAAATTTGATCTTAAAAACACAAACAGTGCAGTGAAAATGCAAAAACAGTTAAATGTAAAAAGAAAACGAAGTAATTCATCAAAATGAAATACACAATTTAGATGAACAGATAGATAAATAGATAGATAGATCGCTTTATTAATCCCAGAAGGAAAGTCGACAGAACAAAGTACAGGAAAGAGCAAAATGAGCAAAAATTACAGTATTACAGATGCATAAATAGAAGTAAAGATACAAAATATACTTAAAACATCAAAAAATATAATGTGCAGTACAAAGTTAAGTAAAATCACATGAATATTATGCAGGTGACATATTAGATATGAGTCGTTTAAATGAGTGTAATGCTAGCGAAGCTGCAGCTAACAGAATCGCTACTTCATTTGCTGAACCAAAAGAAGACAATGACTGACGCAAACCGTGTTTTCAGTGTTTTTAAATTCTTTTAACTCGTTTTCTTATCAATTTCATTTTAGCAGATTTTCTTGGCAGACGTACACCGACCATAAGGTATGTGTAGATATAGGTTAGCTAAGTTGAAACTACATTGCTATGAAACTATGTTTAAATTCTAGAAGTGTGAAAGTTTCACATTGTGGCAGTTTGTAACTGGCTGCTGGACTCAGAGCCGGCTGTATGGAAATAATACAGCTTTAAAATAGAATTAGTTGGATTTGACACAGTTGTCTTTCCTTAACTGAAGGCACTGAAGTGGAACCCGTGAGGGCTCCAGCACAGAGGTGGTTTAGGACCTTAATTTCTGAGAGTGTAGGAAATCTCAGTTCTTCTGTTTTCTATTTAAAGATGCTGGAGTCAACAGGAAAAAGCATGCTGTGAATTTAAGGTGGCAGTGAATTTAATGTTGCAGCCAATT